CCCCAAAACCCCAAAACCCCAAAACCCCAAAACCCCTTCGTTTAAATATAAATAGAGGAATCAAAAATAATATTAATTTCTTAACAAAAAATGATTGTGAGTGAGGACATACTGAATCAGAAATTAAGGCAACTAGCCTTTATCGGATTGAGCATAAAAGACTTAAATAATCTCTCAGAGATTGTCAAAGGTTCATTTACGGCCAGAGCACAAGCATATGAGATTGGTAATAGCCAAGTATTTAAATATCCCAATACTTCTAATTTGGGCAATATGGTAAATATTACAAGTTTACCAGCATACGCTGTGATGTATAATGTAGCATCAGAGCCTTTGGAGGAATATGATGTAGTAGAACTTAACCATCCTTTGTCACCACAAGTTGTAAGCTATCAGATGCCCAATCAAATTTATGTTATGAATAATTCATTTCCTGCTATGTACAACCCAATGGTGTTTACAGATCCTGAGCTACCAGAGTCGACTAACTCTTCCAGAAAGAACACTTTTGTGCCAGGAGAGGAATCTAAAGTAGACCAATTACCCAAAACAGGAATAGTTTCTGGAGCAAAGATTGGTTTACTCCGAAAAGTTCTTGAAGGCATTCAAGATGACTCTCAGATTCTAATTAGCTCAAAACCGAAGAATAAATCGAACAAAATTCGAAAATCAAATCGCCACTCTCGCTACAGAGGAGTATCCCTAAATGGTAAAAAGTGGCAGGTCATGATTATGGGACCTATCAAAAAGAAATATTTCGGAGGAATTGCAACTGAAAGAGAAGCAGCTATTTTCTACGATAAGCTGTCCATTCTGACAAATGGTCTAGCTGCCAAGACCAACTTCAATTACAGAAAGTCAGATTTGATGAAAATGATGGCAGAATTAGAGTACATGGAGACCCAGGTGTCTTAAAAAGACTCCCTCTGGCTGGTTGTTCATGTAATATTGGCTTCATAGCCAGATCCCTTACTATTACTACTTGTCTTTTCAAATAAAATTACAAGAAACCCTGTAACGTTTTTAAAAGCACTGTTTAAACCAGTTTCAGTATACATAGGCTGGAATGGGGTTTTGGGGTTTTGGGGTTTTGGGGTTTTGGGGTTTTGGGG